AAACATCAAGGTGTTTGGTAGAAAAATAAGCAGAATAAGATAAAGTGGTGAAAAATCCTGGTTGAAAAGTATATAGCAGGTTTTTACTTCAGGTTTCAAATATGCACTCTGTTCAAATATTGTGGGCTTCTTCTGAAAACTAACTTAGAAACAACTCGATTCATTTCCCACTCAGTGAAGGAAAACCTTGGTAGCAGGTTCTGCCCTAACCAGACCCACCTGCCATGAACTGCTGGGGCCACAGGATGCCACTGTTGCATTTCTTTTTCAGGAGGTTGAAAGAAAGAATGACAAATTGTTTGCATGAACAGGAGACCTAAATTTAATACCTCTTTTCCTTCTTAACACATACAGTTGCTGATGTTTAGAACCCCAGACAGACCATCCAGATGTTAATAGCTCAGAGCTGCACAGGAATGTTTTCTTCAGGAACAAAATGTTTGAATACCTTTTAAGGCTCAATTACTGAATCCAGCACCTCTGTACCTTCATAAATTTTCTATCCACAAGAAACCTTTCCAATGACTGCCCCAAGTGTTGACTCAAACTCTGATAGTTTTGTCCACAAAATAAATACCCTGTTATTGGATTTTATCTGTGTCCAGATGAGAAAAGAAAAACACTAGATGGGAGAGCAGATTAAATCAGAGAGAAGGCTGATCATAATTGATACCTCTTGTGAAAGAGCAAGAGCCCCTACCATGTTAATAAAACTTCATAAATATTTTACTAATATAAAATGGAATGTAATGTATTCATACCAAGAGACAGGGAAGTGGCCTGAGCTCCCAGATAGCTGCTCTTGCTGCAATTTTATGCAATTTGCAAATTGGCACACAGAATCAGAAGCCCAGGACTACTGAGACCTCTGGGATGGTCAAGACAAAAGCACTGCACAAAGGTCCACCAGTGTGAATTTTAGAGCAATCCAGACTGCAGAGATCTACACAGGATCTAAAAATCCTCTGAAAGCAAATTTGAGTCCTGACATATTTTTACACTGAAGTGGTAAATTATTACAGAAAAATAAGTATGGGGTTTCAGACAGTCTGCAAGATTTACACAGACAAGGGTTCCCCCAAGTTCAGCACAACACAGATGGAATTTGTGAGAATGGGTTGTTAAGAAATGAGGGAGAAATTTTAATGCTAACAGTTTCTCAGATTTCAAAAGCCATTTTGGTTTTGCTCAACATTTTAGAAGGGGAAAAATGGTTTTAGCCTACTACATCTCCATTTAGGAACAGGGAAAAAGAAAATGAATGATAAGGTTTCAGATACCATCTTGGGTGGCCAGCAACAGAAGAACTTGAGGAAAGCCAGCATGAAAGTGACAGCTGTGGTGATGCAGAGCATTACCAAGGCTGGTGTTACAGCTTTGTACTTCAAGCTGATGTAAATATGAAGGGGCCCACAGATAACAGCCTTTTAGGATTCAAGGCTCCAATAGAAACATCCTCACTACCTCCAGCCTGTTTTGGATGTGTCCCAGAAAATGGCTATTCCACAGTGAGGGTCTAGGTTCAGTGAGACAAAATCCATCTCTTCAGAAAGCCATGATGTAAGGTCTCTAAATCAGAGCTAGACAATTACTCAGAAAGATGCTGGGAAGTACTCAGCCTTGTAAGAGAAACAGCTACTGACCAAACAACTCACACATTTCCAAAGACAAAAATAAAAGAAGCTCATGGTTCCACTGCTTTTAAAATTAAGTATTTGTAACAGCACACACCAAGGATATAATATGAATTCAGTCATGACTGTTTACATTTCTTTTGCTGAAGAAATGTTTAGTGTTGTGATTTTTTTGTCATTAGCACAGAAAAAATTTGACCACACATAACCAATTACTTAGTTCCCAAACTGAATTTACCTCCCATTCCAAAGACCAGGGATTTCAAAATCTCCTTAAGAAAGGAAAAAAAAAAAAAAAAAAAGCTTTCAATCCAAATTCTTTTCTTGTTGTTTATAACAATAAACAGCAGATTTCATATAAAAGCAGCAGCATAAGGGTAGAAAATAGTGTTCCAAAGCTAATTTTAGTCCTGCTGATCTCAGGAGCTTAGTGTTCCTGTCAGACTGAACAGACTCCAGTGGTGCCCTGCCTGCCTGGCTGGAGAAATCTGTCCCCGGAGATCTATTTATAGCACCTTGTACCCTGTACCTAGATTAGGTTTTAGGTTTTTTTGTTTTGTTTTGTTTCATTGTGTTTTGTTTTGTTAGGCGGGAGCATGTATCCAGGACTACATTGATCCAGGACACAGATGTGACCTACTCGAGTAAATTACCACGGGGAAAAAAAATATGAAAACAGTTCACACTTCATTTTCTGCACATCAGTCCCTCTGGACTTCATCAGCTAGCCAAAATTCAGTCCCAAAGGTTATTTCTATTACAAAGAGAAATTGATGACAGAATTGGGTGCATCTTTGATACAAACCCATCTGCTTACATACAACACAGCATCCTTTCACCTGCAATAATGTAAAAACAAATTATCTGATCTTTTTCCTTGGTGGCTGTCATTTAAATTTAGCCAGTACAATATCTAATCCCTTCATGATTGTCTCCTTAGAAACACACTCCTACTCCTACATTTGGATATTTCTCCCTGTCAGCATGATTTTCTGTGGCTTGTTTCACTGGTTCTTATGTCATATATAGGCAACTCCAGCAGTCACTACCTATCTTGTATTTCCTTTATGAGTCTCCAGGGAAAAACCCTTATGTCATAGAGTTAAGGGTTTTTTAAAATGTAGATCTCACCTTGTAATTCTGTGTTGGTTGTGACCCTGTTATTTCAACTACCTGGTTCCATAATGACTTTAAACTCTTCTAAATACTTACTTTGCCCACCAGCTTCACTGAGTTTTACCCAGTCCATAATAGCATCCTTTCAGTTCCACCCAGTCTTCCAAACCAAAATGGCCACACCTGAACCCTTTCAGCCCAGAAGGAGAAATGTTTTAACAAAACTACTATACTGCAAACAGTGGCTGTCAGGGATACTCTTATATTTCAGCCCCTCCAAAAAAGTCTATTTCCAGCCATGAATCCTTGTTATTTTTCAACTGTTTGTATGAAACCTGCCCATCAGAAGGAAGATGTAATTCCTCATGCCCTCCATCAACAGTAGATATCTTCTACTGGATGCAAATGATGAATCAATTTCCCAAATATTTGTTATCTAGACAGGAGAACAGAGTTCATGCAGGCACCCTAATCTTTGGGGTAAAATCTGCCAAACTAGCTTAAACAACCTCTAAATAGAAAGAGTAGGAATTAGAAACAAACAAAGCTACGAAACAGTAAAACACTCCTGCTGTTAGGCTGCCTTTGCTAGCCAGATGACAGCCCCAAACAGAGAGGGTGTAGCGACTGATGGGTAGTGGTGTCTCAAACTGCAACTTCTCATCACGGCTTCAGTTACAGTCACCACTCACTGCTGCCAAGAGAGGTAGCCCTCTTCCCCCATCCCTCCCCCAGTTTCTTCCCTGTGGGACATGTGCTTCTGCCAAATCTTTGCTCCAGTGCACATTTGATTGCAGCACAAAGCCAATTCAACTCACTAAAACAGCAGAAAGTAAATTGGTTTTGGCTGGAAAGCAAGCAGAACTGGATTATTATGTGATCAAGCAAGCACTAGAGTTGGTGCAAGACAGTGAGAAGAAGATGAAGTGTACAGCTGAAGGCAGGAACAGCAGAAGACGTCTAGGCAAGGTGTGAATGGTAAACAGCAAAAGAAGCTGTTAACACAGCTCAGCCAGAGCAGGGAATCACACTCCTACCACCCTTCAAAACATGTGCTTTGAGCATTCAACTCCTGTAGCTATCTCCTCATTTCAGGGACAGCAGCTCCTCTGTTACCTGCATGTTACTTACAGGGGATTTTAGATTTACCTCCGCCATAGGACTGCACTTACAGCTACATATCTTAGCCCAAACTCATGAAGCACTGGTACCCTGAGCTTGCTGCTGTGAAAGCCCTGGGAAGGAAAGGGATTTCCTGCTCCCAGCTTTTGTGCAGGACAGTGCCACAGCATAAGGCAGCTTTCCAAAGCTCAATATTAGCTGGGCACGGTGTCATGTTAACACCATCATCCTGTTTCCCAGGCACAGGCTGCTTTTGTGTACAGGACTGCACAACCAACAAGCCATTTGCTGCAATCCCGGTTCAAGAGCCTGTCCAGACTCATTCCAAAAAGAGATTATAAACACCAACAGAAGGCATCCTGAGGAGACCAGCACATTGTTCCTCTGTAAGAGAAACATCACAGGCTGGCAGCGAGGTGACAAAGCCCCTGCTGATACACCACAGGGAAGGCTTTCAGCAGAGCACCAAGGAAGGAGACTGCATACATTCAAATGGCTGTTTATCCAAAACATGGCTCTGCACCAGAGGAGAGCTTACCTCCCTGTGCAACCCGTCTAGTGTAACACAGGCCATTCCCACACACCTGCTCCTGGGCACAAGTTTCACCCATTACCTTTTACCTCCTGCCCTTCACCCCTCCCACCCCCCGTTCTGTGGGGCTTTCTGCCCTGAACGCTGCCAGTCATGGAGGTGGCTTTAGAAATCAATAAGGCAACCTGTGGGGGCCTTGAATTTCAACTTTATTCACCTTCAGGTTTTATATCCTCTCGCGGTTACCAAGTTCTTCCTCAGCACTGTAGGGCACAGGGACATCATTTCGTTAAATTAAACAAAGCTCGGGTTGTCCTGTGCTCCCAGACACCCGCCCATCCCCACAGCCCTCGTTCCTCTTCATTGAGGAGGAGGAAAGGGCAAGGAAGCTGGTGAAGGTTCTGGAGTGCACATCCCATGAGGAGTGCCTGAGGGAGCTCGGGGTCTTTAGCCTGGAGAAAAGGAGGCTCAGGGGTGACCCTATCATTCTCTACAGCTGCCTGGGAGGACGGTGTAGCGCGGTGGGGGATGGCCTCTTCTCCCAGGGAACCAGCAACAGGACAAAAGGACACAGCCTCAGGCTGTGCCAGGTGAGGTTCACGACATCAGGAAGAAGTTCTTCACATGAAGACATTTGAATGAGCTGCCCAGGGAGGTGGTGGCCTCACCATCCCTGGCGGTATTTAAGGAAAGTCTCAGTGCCACGGTCTGGTTGACATGGCGGTGTTGGATCACAGACTGGACTTGACGATCCCAGAGATCTTTAGTTCATTTCCAACCAAACTGACTCCGTGATTTTGTAACTCGGCTCACCTTTCCCGGGTGGCGAGCGGGCAGGGCCGGCCCGGGCAGGGCAGGCGGGAGCGGCCGGGCCGGAGGGCGGTGCCGGCGGCGCCGGGAGCTGCTGCGGGCGGGACGGAGCTCGGCGCTCCCTCAGGTGAGGCCGCGGGCCGCGGGCCTTGGCCCCGGGCCGGGGGGAGCCGGCGGCGGGGGGAAGCGAAGGTGCCCGGCGGGAGGTGCCCGGTGTGTCCCGGTGTCCCGGGGCAGCGCCCACGCCGGGGCCACCCCCGGGGCGCCACGGGGGTCTCGGGGCGCTGCGGTGGCGGCACCAGGGACCTTTCCCTGCGGAATGGCTCCTGCCCTCGGGGGAAGGCGCTGTCTCTCTCCCTCTTAGATGTAAACAAAAATTAATTTATTCCTTTATATTATGTTTTTGTATGTTTATATTTATTTACTTTATAACACCCAAAGGTGATGGAGGAAGGTTATCAGGCCTTGATCAGTGCAAATTAAACCGACTGCAGACACTTCTGCAGGGATGTTGAAGGGCTGTGATGAAGGCAGATTAGTCTAAAGATTGCTCAGGTGTTTGAAGTCTATTTCCCTATTTTACAGATTTGGGCTTAATCGTATTGCACTTGAAAAGATAAAGACACTTTCAGCAAATAACAAACTGGTAGTATTTAGTATGGAATTATCAGGGTATAGCTTCTTGCCAGCTTACTTTCAGCCCAGCACAGCTTTGCCTGTACCTAATGTTTATGTAAATCATAGGCAACGTTTGGTAGTGACTCTGCTTACACCCACGGGTGCCCTCCTCTTAGAAACTCCCAGGACAAAGGTCACAGCCTGCTCTTCCAGACTTCCCTGTGCCAGTGGCAGCTGTGTGCACACTCATGCAGTGCACTGGCACTTGCTGGGCTTAATGCTTTACCTGAGACACAACATTGCAGAAGACAAGATTCAGTTCCTGGTGGACACGATCCCCTGCCCTGGCAGCAAAGGCAGGAGAATCGGAGCAGACCTAGTAAATAATCGAAGTGCACTAAATGTCAGGTACAGAAACATTGCACTTACATGATGAAAAGGAAAGGTAAAGAAAAATTTCTTGCTTTAATGAAGTTACTTTGTAGTTTAAAGGGTTTTACTTCCTTCACCTCTTGAAGAAGTCTGTACTAATTTTGAACAGCATTTAATGGAAGTGAGTGCTGGTCAATGAATAACTTTTAAGTGGAGCAATAAAATGAACCGGTTTTATTTCTCTGGCTCAGGAAGTTATTTTAGAAGGAGAGAATAGATCTGAGAAACAAGATGTCTCATGCTGGGAGTCGATACCAAGATAAGCAACACCGGCACCATGAGAACCATAGATCTGATAGGTACAAGGAAGACAGAAGAGCAAGGAAACCATACCCATACAATGCAAGGTACATCTTTATCTCCTCAGAGAAATAGATCACAGCAGGTCTATAATGTCTGTCTTCTCTCTGCTTTTAAATAGGCTTAATTTACAACAGTAAAGAAAGCTTTTAGTCCGCTGTGAAAGCATGAGCATTCTGCATTTGGAAGGGAGCTATTTTACACTTAGAAATTTTTTTCTTTGTTTTGAGCTGGAGGCAGGACAGAAAGCTAGGCTGTGTAACACAGGCAGATATGTGAATTTCCTGGGATGATCTGAATCAGGTTGGGTGACAAGTAGGTGAAATGTGGCTATGCGTCTTAGTACAGTTTCTGAAGGCACTGGTCAGCAGGTGATGGCAAGCTGTGTCTTGCCAAATATGCTTAAATAAGAATGTTACATGTCTGAGACCAGTACAGGGACTTTGTGAGCTCTCAAGTTGCTGTGAACATGTTCCTGTTAATCTGAAATCAAATTACTTTCAGTAGTCGCTGTCAATAGATGAGTGCTTGTTGAAGTGTCTAAGGCTGTTGGCAGCACTTGAGAGTGGGTCAATCCCTACCACCACAATGAGCAGATCAACTAATGGGTTTCCAGTGCCAAATAAACTCTTAAGATATTGCACTTTTCCTTCCAGCTTTGCCTGGCTGCAGCACACTAGACGTGAGCTTAGGCTGTGTGCCTTTTAGGTCATGCCAGTGCGTGGCTGCACTGTAGGAGAGAGGTCTGTAGGTCTAAAAACCACTGGCAAATTGGCCATGGCAGCAGAGTGTTCATCTCTGCCATTTAGTCTCTGGGGACACGATTGTAGGGGAAATTAAGAATAAAGGGAAACAGGGAGAGGAGAACAAAGACCAGCCTAAGAATCATCCTCAGAGGCTGAATGCCTGTCCTTAGCAAAAGCAGAGATTGGCAGGCAATATAGTTAAATTATTTTGAACTCATTAGAAGTGAGAGCAGCTAATGCCAGTAACACATTAATAGCACAGTGGAGAGAAAAATAAAAAAAACAAAAGGATTGGAGGTTTGATGTGGGCATTTTTTTCTTTCATGTGTAGCATAATATAAACAATGTGTGAAGGACTAGCAATAAATTAAACCACCACTTTTTAATAAAGCACTTCTCTGGATTTCTTGGTTTTGCTGTTAGTTTTATGTGTTTGGACTCGTAGATTGAAAATTGATGGATGGACTGTAAAGGTTCATAGACATCCCTGTATCCACCAGGGATTAGAGGAAGGGAAGCTGCAGTTGCAAATCTGTAACAGCCACGAAGATAATTCTTAGTCAAGTCAAGCATCTGGGGGCAATCAGACCCCACTAAAACTGATTGAAAAACTTTTCTGTCAGTTGTTTTGAAGGAGTTTGGCTTAACCTAACAGCATTTCCTCTGCTTGGTTCTCATGGAGTTCTCATGGGTTTTGGTGAAAACTTTGGCTGATTGATCAGAAGACCACCAGACCCTGTAATGAAATACATGGGAAGAATTTTGTTGTACTTTGGGTGCCTAATACTTTAATCCCTGATGAACCAGACTTTCTAGCCAGAGTGTTTCTCTTTCCAAATGCATTTCTGTCTGAAACTCCTACAGCAACCTTCCTCCCAGTGCTGAGGAGAATTACCTAGAATGGTAAAATCCTCAAGGAAAACAGCAGCAAAGGTGGCCAGAACAGGCCATATTGAGCAAAAAAGGCATCTAAAAAAAGAATTTTTTTTTCCTAAATGTACTCTGCTGCTGAACATTGGGGCGGTGGTGGGGGGGGAGGTTTGGTTTGATTTTTGTCTTGTTTTGTTTTCTGGCAAGTAGCAGGAAACAATAGAGAGAAGCAGCTGCATCAGAAGTACCAAAGGGATTGCTTTCAAGTTACTGGAAGTCTTATAAATCACACAGCTTATTTAATTTATGTGACACAGCTGCACAGGATGCTTTGGTAGTTGCACAAGACACAGGACAGAGGTCAGAAAAATCAGAAATGTTTCAGCCAAATAGAGCTGTTGGCAGCTAAACACGGAGACGTTCGCATTGGTCTTGTTATTGAACGTCTTAATTAAAATGTAAGAACTACAAAGAACATGATTTAATGTGGATGAACGAGATTACATTGAGTCTGGAATTGGATGAAGATAAACCTTAGTGAAGTGCAGTGATACTAGGAAACAAAACTACAGTTGAAAATGCTGATCTGTGGATAAGAAATTCAAGATAAAAAAAGGAATACAAAGAAGACTTTTAAAAATAATAATGCTGAATGAGACTTAAAATACCATTTAATAATAAATTCATCCAGCTGTACCTTGAAAAACGCCAGCTCCATTTCTTCTTCAAATGAGGGAGAAAATTTCTGTTAGATCACACAAAAGATGTGCAGCCAATGTTTCTTTTAACCTGAGTGTTTGCTCAGTTTAAAGGGAAAATTGCACTTTTCCTATAAAATAACCGAATTCTCACCAACTTTAAAAATCATCAGGCTTCAGATATGGAGCTGTATGTCATTGCAGAAAACTGGACCATTTTATCAATGAAGAGACTAATTGGAGATGGGAGAAACGGATCTTTTTGGGGAGGAGGGTTGATTTTAGATTCTTCTTCAAATATCTTCAAGGACCTCCAAAATTTGAATAGGCTGTTTTTTCCCTAGTTTAAAATCTTTGTCTGTTTATTTTAATAGCTTTTATTCTTTTAAAAGACATATTTGTGAGAGACACTAGTTGGAAGTACAAAGACCCATTAAATAGTTGTGCTACTTTGCACATTTATTATGCCAAAATCTCTCTCATTTCTATTATCTGGCCTGCTGTGGACTAGCTAAATTGTTTGGTTTTCATGAAAAAGCTGTTATTTCCTCTTTCTACCTTTTGCCAGTAAGCTAAACAGTTCAGCCAGCCTACCCAGTGAGTACACTATTTTTCAAAATAAGGACCATTGAGTGCAAATATCCTTGTGAACATGGATTTATGCAAGATTTTGGGATATTTGCTTTCAAAACAGGCAAGCAAAAAAGGTCAGATGCCTGTGAAGCAAGCTAGTTGCTTCCACTAAGAGGAGCATTGATAATTTCTCATGTTCTAATGTTCAGGAGGACATTAGAACATTCATTTCTCATGTTCAGGAGAGACTGTGACCTAATGTGTAACCATCAGTTGTTTACTCCATTGTAGAGACATCCGAGGTGGCCAGCACTCAAGGGCTTCTCCTGTTTGCTCAGACCCTTACTCTAAAACCTCAGGAGCAGCACAGGAGTATTTTGGCCCACCACCAGAATTTTATCCTCCCAAGGAAAGCTTCTCAGTGAAGTGTTCAAAGGTATGCACAACAAGAGGTATGTGAGACTCTTATTGCCTGCCATCCACCCCTCTCCTTCCAAGGACTTCTCTTGGTTTCTGTGTTTAGAAGCACAACAAAGTACAGCTAGAGGAATATTAAAACAAAATAAAACAAATGGAAAAAAAACCCTACCAAAAAAAAGGCCACAAGGACTGAGAGAGTTAATGAATTGCATGACTGAGGGTTATACCATTTTAGACATCTAAAGGCAGTATTTCTACAGATATTTAGATACTTGAAAATACATCTCTGGAATATGCATCCAGATCACCAGAGTAGGTCATGTGTGTAATCAGCCAGTCAGTGCAACAAGAGTTAGCCTTTGGGATTTTAGGAATAAAATAGACATTTGCATCTGTGAGCAGTTTAGAGATGGCTGTTGAAGGTTTGGTTCTAGTTTGTTTCCCAGTCATTCTTCTCACACTTTTTATAAGTTCTGGATTTTCTGCAGTTATCACTCATACATCCTTTATAAAGCATCATTGCAGGAGACAAATTTTTTTACTGGACATGAATCCAGTAAAACAATTTTGGAGAAATAACTTGGGTTTTTCTTAGGAACAAGGCAACTGCTCAAGGACAGAAATGAGTCTTAATGTGGGAGGAAATCAGCCTTAGTAAACTCATTCCTGTAAACTGAAAAAAAAAAAAGTTGTTAAAATATTCATTACCTCTTGAAAGTTTTCCCTCTTTCCGGGCACTGATCATTCTCACCTTGTCTGTAGGAAAGCTCCACTGCAGTCTGAGTTGAACTTGCAGCTAGGTGCAAAGTCTTTGGCTGATGTCTATAAATAGACTTTCAGTGTCCTCCAGTAGAGAGAAAAGTGAAGAGATTAGCTGCTGGAAGTAAATTAAAGCACATAACGTTAGATTATTTCTTTACTCCATGTAGGAAAGTTAAGTAGCACAATCAATTTAATATTTCTCTGTATGTGAATATGTGAACAATTTTAAGAGTGAGATGAACTATTTTGTTTTAAAAATATTTTCTGTGTATTAGTATGCAGTTTGTTTTTCATCTTCAGATGTAACTGGAGCCATTAGTAAAGTTCTAGTGACATGGAGCCATGCTGATATTTTATCTATGATAAAATTGTATCATCAGTTTCTTCTTTAAACTTACTGAATTATTTTAACTTGTCTGAAAAGCTGCATAAAACTCCATGCCCTATTTTATCAGAGCTTTAGGAAAATAAAGGGGCAAGTTAGTTTTAGTTTCCAGTTTTACTGGTTGCTTGGACTTACGAATAGCTTAATGTGAATATCTAGGGGTTTTATCCCCTGCATTTGCTTTTCATTATTTCAGTGCATTAAACATCATTAAGATTTTTAAAATGTCCTAGTTTTGGATACATCAGTTGACAATGATGATTTTACTCCCACCCCTCCCCCAGGTATTGCTCAGTGTTTTCCAAAAATTTCATGTCTGAGCTTGCAGTGGAGGAGGGGAAAGAGATCATGCAGAAAATAAACCCTTTTATTAGCAACCTTATTTCAAAAAATGAAAATATATTGAAGGTTGATAAGATTATGAGAATGTTACTAGCCTGTTTAGTTTTTGGAAGTACCAAGATTTAGCAGAGTTTACTAGAATTGTTTTGCAGAATTCTGTATTCCCTGCAGTTATGGCAGATGCTGTAAATGAACTATATGAATTGTTTACAAAGAAGTCAGTACATGGGAGCTGCAATACTTTAGAGGATGAAAAGTTCCTGTAAATACTTATTAACCATCTCCTTCTTTTGCCAATGATTTATCAGCACTCTGGTGAAATTCCCCCTTCCCAATCACCATAATTTTAAAATAAACTAGACTCAAACAAGGCTGGGAATTCAAGTGATGAAGCACAATCTTTTCCAAAGCAACAACTGAAATGTTAATCTCAGTTTCTGACTGTCCACTGAGTAGTTGAACTTTGGGGCTTTTATCTTTTGCCTAGCACACCTAGGTTATGTTCTTTTTGCATTTTGAGCAGTTTAGCAAACTGCTAAAGCAGTTTAGCAAACTAGAGAGGAATTCTATACAACCAGAGCTCTGAATAGTATTTGCTTCACCCAGATAGTTCCCCCTTCATCCATGTTTTTTACCAGCTATATCCCAAAAAAACGTAAAGCTGAATTTGAGAAATAAGCAGCTGGGTTTTTTAGGGATCTTTTAAACAGCTTAGGACACTTTAGGACCTCATTCTCCTGTCTTTGTTATTCCCCCCTTCCCTCCCTATTCCTTGCCCCCTTTTTTTCCCCCCTACAACCACAATAGGACAATAAACCCAGACCAAATATAGTGGAAGAAAAAACTGATACTGACCCCTTTTGCTGGTAAGAACATTTGATACCATCTAAGAAACTTCAAAACATTCTGCTCTTTTTTAATCCTTTCATCTTGAAAACAGAAGGAGGAAAAAAAGTCTGTTAAAACATTATATGAGGGATACCTATTCAAAGCCATTCAGGTGGGATCACATGGATAACAGTGCTGGATCATATGGGGCACTTCATCACTCTTCCTCCCAAAAAATGGACTAAAGTACAAACCTAGGAGGACCATCAAAGTTTGGATTAGTAGAGAGTAAGCTGTCTTCTGGAATAGACTCCAGACTTTGGATTGGTGGAATTTCCTGAATTGGAAAACTTCACTCACATCTGTTGTGTTTAATACCTCTTTACAGACCTATGAAGTTTGTTTAATTTTCTGCTGAATTGCTTTTTTAAATGTTTGACCTTCACATTACCTTAAGATAAGGAGTTCCAGAGTTTCACTTGAAGTACTACTGTTTCATTCCTTAAAATGTTTTAAAGAAGGTGTTTCTGATTCTGATGGTATTCTAAATATGTAGTGATAATCTCATATATTCAACTTCTCTATGAGATTTATCGTTTTAGAGTGAAGTCTTCCCTTTTTCCCTGTGCCCCTATTGCTTCTTCACAGATTGAACAACAGCCAGTTTTGGTCAGTTTTCCAGTCTTATACCTTTTCCAGGTCTACCACAACTTTTTGAGATAGGCTGACCAGAAATGCAGTAAAAATTCCATATAAATTCCAGAAAGAATCAGACATCTGCCAAAGGGCTCTGGTTCTGTAATCCTATTCTAATGCTTCCTACCTTTTTTGTGGTGTTTGACTATCAGTGAACACTGAGCTGATGTCTTCAAAGAAAGCTACCTGAAATGGAAATGCTTTGCTTAGAACCCATCTGCGTGCTCTGTCCACAGGGGCATCAGTTGTTTGTGGATATTTCTGTACAGCCATGAAGTGGAGGTTGCTTATTAAACACTGATTTCATTAATTTCTCATTCAAAGCTTGAGCTCTTAGCAGCCTACCAATTTTACTGTTGGCAAGCATGAAGAAATTTTTTTTATTATTATTATTAAAGCAGATTTCACCATCTCAGTTTTCAGTCTTTTCAGTTCATTAGTCTGTGCGTCCACCATAGTATTTTGGTATGTAGTTTTGAGCTGAACATGCTTGGAACCTCCACTTACAGGTCTTTGGGCCATATTACAGAGCAGACCCAGGGTGCACAAACTGTATTTTCTTTGGATAAAGCTAAATGAAAGGATGAGCTGTAACTACCAGCAGGTACTCTGCCCTTTGGAACAAACAAGACACAAATTGAAGTCCTTCTCTCTCCAGAAAATACCTGTCCTGTAGCCCCTGTGTCTTGAACTCCACCTGACTCTGCAAATCCCCTCCCACTGCACTGCCAACATGGGCATGCTGGTGACAGGCAACCCTTAACTCTAGTTGCCTGAAAACTGGCTGTTTCCTTTTTATTATCCTTTAACCACTGCTAACCAGTGAAATGATTGTTTATCTCACAGGAGCTTGTGTCATTTAAGAGCACTACCTTTCTTCATATATCTGCTGATTTTTTTTAATTGACTTCCCTATAAAACTCTTGACTGTTCCCTGCTCTGCTGTCTTTATGTCTGGTTTCTATATGTTGGGTAATTTTACATAGGAGAGCTACACTTGTGGGCCTGCGGATTACAGATCAAAAGGCAGCAGAAGCAGAAGTGTGCCACCTTCTGTTTCTACAGTAGTGAGGGAGATTGAGGGAACAGTTCATAGGCGGGTGTCAAACTGCCTAGATGCACTATATAATTTATGAATTTAGAATTTGAAATAAACTGTTTGTGATAAAGACAAACCTTTCATTAACTAAGGAACTGCTGCTTGCAATAGCCATTTCTTACTGCTTACACACAATATATTACATGTGCCATTTAAAGCAGCACCTGTTAAAAACAACAAGAGTTTTTTGACCTGGGGATTCTTAAGGCTGAAATTCTGTCAGAAGGAAGCATTCAATTTGCTTTTCACAGTGCAGATAAAATTTCCGTTATTCTCTATTCTATGTGGAAAACCTAAATTAGTAATCATTTTGCCTTTCAAATAACCCCCCCTAGATATATTTAAAATAGAACCAGATTCAGTGCTTTTGTTTAGCAGATGGAATGAAAAAAGTGTTCAAGGCTGGCTGCCATCCTTCACCTCAGTGAGAGGAAAATGTGAGTTGAACCCAAGAGTGAATTGCTGATCATAAATTGGTCTCAGATATTTGGTCTTGACCTTAAAAACTTTTAATTTTCTTTTTATTATGTATATTGATGTGAAAGAGGTGGAGCAATGCAATTCTTGGATAATGCCTCCTGTAGTTTTGCTTAAACAGCAAAGATAAACTTAAGTTTCTGCCATCTTTGGTCAGTATGTGACTCAGAAAATTACTTGTGCTTTTGTCTTCTATAGAATTGTACTGTGCTGGTCATGATTCCTGAGCAAATAACCTTTTTTTTTTTTTTCTTTCAACCCATTTGGCCTTTAAGGGAGACAACACTGAAGAGGTTACGAAACAGTTTGTGAGAGAGCAAGTATAATTGAATCCCTGTTCTTTGCTGCTATGAATACAGCTTTGCTCCTTGAATAGTGTTAGATTTCTTAAGCATATTGTAGGCACTTCCAAACAATCATGCCTTTAGCCTACATTCTAACATCCACAATTGTTAAAACCTTCAGACCAATTTCCTCTCAGAAAAAGACAGCATTATGGTTTGTAACAACATGAAAAGTCTCCAATTTCAAACATAGCCAGGAGGAAATATCAAACTGAATTTATTTGGAGGAGGAAATAGAATTAGGGAGTAACAATGACTTTCTCCAGGATGCATTCATGCACTAACAAGCCAGCATTAATTCAAATGTAAACATCTATAAGCTTTTGTTTTTACAAAACACAGTTAATTTTTTCCCCTATAGCTATGCATGATGGGAAATACTCATAGACAAGAAAAAAATACTGAGATGAAAAGTTAGCCAAGACACGGGGTTCACACTAATAGAAACTCGCTTTGAGTTATGCCATTGTTCTCAGCCATAATGCTGCTGTTGTTTCTTTGCTGTGTTATGTTGTGATACTGTTCCTCTTGGAGTCAGACATGGGAGCAGGAGGGGAAAAACATTTTGTGGAGGACTCATATCCCTTTCAATGCTGCGGAGATGTTGTGGGAGAATAGTGGTCTGCAAGAGGCATTGGACTGAAGTAAAAAAATCTCCTGTACCTTCAGGTATGCACATTTAAAAACACTGAAGGGTCATTAAGTGTGCATAGTGCAGGTAACTCTGTGTGTGAAAACAAGCATTTGATAAGTACATTCAGCAGCATGTTGCATCTTTTTGGCAATGCAGGACACCTACATTCCTGTGGGGGCACCCAACAGGATTAGAAACTGTTGTGTTTTGTAGTCAC